TCTATTCTAGCGAAGAGAAAAAAACTCAAGGAAGCTGGTGTTGCGAAAGGTGTTGTCATGTTATCCAAAAATAGATCACAAACAGTCGAAGAGGTTGAGAAGTTGTTGGTGGTGTGGATCAACAATAAACAGACAGCAGGTGATAGTGTTTCAGAGTCGATCATTTGTGAGAAAGCAAGGCAGCTGCATGCCACTCTTATAAAGAAAATACCTGGAACCAATGCTGATGTTAGTGAATTTAAGGCCAGCAGAGGCTGGTTTAACAGATTTAAGAAGCGTAGTGGCATACACAGTGCGGTAAGGCACGGTGAGGCAGCAAGTTCAGACAAACGTGCGGCTTAAAACTTCATGAATGAATTTAAGGGGTATGTAAAGACGGAAAAATTCAAACCCCAGCAAGTCTTCAATTGTGATGAAACAGGCGTGTTTTGGAAGAAAATGCCAGAGGACCTACATTACTCAGGAGGAAAAGGCACTGCCAAGACACAAGCCTATGAAAGATAGGCTAACTCTTTTGTTCTGTGCTAATGCTAGTGGAAATTTTAGAGTGAAGCCTTTACTGGTGTATCACTCAGAAAATCCCAGAGTGTTCAAGAAAAGCAATGTCATCAAGAATAAATTGTGTGTCTTGTGGAAAGCAAATAATAAGGAATGGGTCACGAGGCAAATTTCCAAAGAGTGGGTCCATGAAGTGTTTGGCCCCAGTGTGAAAAAATCTCTCCTTGAAAATAATTTGCCACTCAAGCATCTCCTGGTAATGGACAATGCTCATGCTCATCCTCCAAACTTGGAAGACCTATTGTCTAGGGACTTCAGTTTCATCACAGTGAAGTTCTTGCCTCCTGTTATGGGGCTATAAGACCCAACATGTATTTATAAGTAACAGTTACTCTGGAATACCTAATTATATTGAATTGATGGGGACTCAGTTCTAAATGTCATAAGGGCTGATCAACCTTATGACTGAGAGGCAGCTGGGTCAAGCCTTTTTCTCAATATAATAGGTTATCCTATAGACACACACACAATTTAAATAAGTAGTTTATAAAGTTGTATTTCTTTTTGTAAAAGTAAAATTAAGGTGTGGTAGAATTGTGGTAACTGGAGAATTGTGCTTGGCACCAGTCTTTTGTTTTGGTGGGAGGAGCTTAGCTAGGCTTCTCTCTCTCCCTCTCTCTGACTCTCTCTCTCTGTGGCTGACCTTCAACCTGGCAGGATCTCTGGGTCCTTCTTCTATCTTTTGGGGCAGTATGTGTGCTCCAGGGGTGAGTTTTTATAATTTAAGTTGTGGCCACCATACCCAGGGTGACTAAAGTGTGTCAAAACACTGGTTAGCCCAGAGTTATGTCAAGAAGAGAGAAGGACAAAAGTTAATAAGATACACCATGTGGGAGAACAGCTATGGAGTGTGTAGATCTTTGTTTTTAAAGTGTGAGGCTGTAATTGTATATTCTGTACATATCTATTGAGAATACAGTTATATTTTTATAGTAGTAGTTTACATAACCTGTGAAGAGGGCTGGTGAGAGGATATCAGACACTCAAGATGATCAGCCATGATGTAAGAAATTTCCCCCTAGACAGATAAGGCCATTAAGTAAAAAACTACCCCACACTAAGAACATGTAGTGAGAACCTTACTATCAAAGTAATAAGGGACAAACCAACGTAACACCTCCTCCAACCACTCCTCTCCTCCAGCCCATGGACCAGCAGGTCATTTCTAACTTCAAAAAACTCTACACCAAAGCAGTGTTTGAAATGTGTTTTGAAGTAACCTCAGACACTCAAATGACCCTAAGAGAGTTCTGGAGGAAGCACTTCAGTATCCTCCATTACATAAGCCTTATAGGTAAGGCTTGGGAGGGAGTGACTTCCAGGACTTTGAACTCTGCTTGGAGACAATTGTGGCCACAATGTGTCGTCCGGAGAGATTTTGAAGGGCTTAAGGCTGACCCTGACCCTGCCAACTCTCTGCCTGTTGTGGAAGGTATTGTGGCATTGGGCAAGTCCATGGGGTTGGAGGTGAGTGGCAAGAATGTGGGAGAGTTGGTGGAGGACCAAAGGGAAGAGCTAACCACTGACAAACTGCAAGAGCTTCAACTGGTACAGTATCAGACCACAGCTGAGGAACTTGCTTCAGAGGAGGAGGAAGAGGGAGTGAAGGAGGTGCTTTCTTCAGTGATTAAGGACATGTATGCAAAGTGGAATGAGTTGCAAACTTTTGTTGAAAAGTATCACCCTGACCAAGCTGAAACAAGCCATATCTGCAACATGTTCAGTGACAAAACCTTATCCCACTTCAGGGAAATCTTAAAGAGACGCCAGAAACAGAGCAGTCTTGACAGTTATTTTGTGACAGGGGTCCAGTGACTCTCAAGCTGGTCCTAGTGGCCTTAAAAGACAAAGAAGGGAAGTAACCCCAGATAAGGACTTGTTACCTAAAGTCTTGATGGAAGGGGATTCCCCTTCCAAACAATAAGTCCTCCCTCTCTCCTCCTCCCTATCTTCCAGATGCCTGCAAGTCTCTTCAATAAAGGTAAGTAAATGTTATTTTAAATGTTTATTTAAATTTTAATTTATGTATTGTATAATATATATGTATTTATCTGTGTTGTATGTAAAACTATAGTTATTCTTTAAAAAAATGTATTTTTTGTGAATATTTTTGTGGGTCTGGAAAGGATTAATTGCACATATATTATTTCTTATGGGAAATATTGCTTCGCTTTTCAGCCATTTCGGGTTTAGGCCTAGCTCCTGGAATGGATTACAGCCGAAACTCGGAGTTCCACTGTAGTACTACTGAGGCCCAGTGTCCCTGGTTTACCATCCACCAAAAGATTCCAGATGGTTGTATGGCTGAATGCCCCAGTGGCATCACACCCTACAGCTGTTGTGTAGGTGCTCCTCAAGTTGTAGAGAAGAAATTTTATAGACCACTGTTTTATCTGTGTTTTTCACTTAGGTTAGGAGTATTTAACCCTTTCAGGGTTTTGGACGTACTAGTAAGGCTTGCGCATCAGGGTTTTTGACATACTAGTACGCCTAAATTCTAGCGCCCTCAAATCTAGTGAGAGAAAGCTGGTAGGCCTGCATATGAAAGAATGGGTCTATGTGGTCAGTGTGCACAGTATAAAAAAAACTCTGCAGCACACAGTGCGTAATGAGAAAAAAAAACTTTGACCGTGTTTTTGGATTAAAACAGCGACTTTGCACTGTATTTTCGTATGGTATTTATTGTTGTATTCTAGTTTTCCTGGTCTCATTTTATAGAATGGAAGACATATTACAGAAATTGAGATGATTTTGATGACTTTGGAAAAGTACCTTGAAATTGAGCTCAAAGTAGCAGAAATGTTCGATTTTTACCAAAGTTCATAAGTAAACAAATCATGCTAAGTGTCCAATACACGTCAACTGGTGAGTCTAATATTCTTTCACAAGTACGCCGATATTATTTATACCATTTCTACACTAATGCAGTAGTTTGCATAACAGTAAATCTTCTGTTTTTTGTGAGAATAAAAATTCAGAGTGGAAAGCAAAAGAATGTAAGAGGAGCATGGGGACGTGACTAATGAACAGATGAAATGTTATTTTAGTGCCAGGAATGTCTTGTTTATTCTGGACCCTATTTGAAAATTGGCATCTTTTGAAATTTGTGTGAAATTGGCAAAATTGCTAAATTCTGACCACTGTACAGTATTAGATAGTTGAAATCGGTAAATGGGTGGTTTCTTGTACTCATTCGATAGAAGAAATGGAGTTCTAGCGAAACAGTTATTTTTTTGTCGACTAGCACACTGGAATTGGCCGAAAATTGGGCTCAAAGTGGGCAAAATCGCCGATGCATAAACACTGTCGAGACCGTTAAATTTGCGAGAGCATAATTCCGTAAGTTTTCCATCAAATTTCATACTTTTGGTGTCATTATGATCAGGAAAAGATTCTCTATCTTTTCATAAGAAAAAATAATTTTTTTTTTTTTAAATTTGGGCGACCCTGAGAACAAGTCTGGGAGAGGGCCTGGGGACCCTGAAAAGGTTAATAAAGGTCTTGTTTTAAAATTAATTTCTGTCATTTGATCTTCCTTATTTAGATTTATCAGTTATTACCTTTCCATCCTAACAGTGTCATATCTTCTAAAAAAAAAAAAATGGTTTCCAGAGACAAGGCATCAAACATTTAAACATATGGGTAAAGAAAACATTTTGCAATGTCAAAAACAAAATCAGGCAAAATAAAAAGAGTGCTCTAACAAATTAAAATGCAGTCTAGATGTGTGTTGCCAGTAAACATACCTCCATGAACACTGGATAATTTCTAGTTTATATTCCATAGAATTTTCAAATGTGCCTATAAGACTTTTAAGACTCTGCATGGAATAACTGGGGGGAAGAGAGATCTTTGGGATTAGATGGGCAGTTGAAGTGTGAGAATGATTGCATCTATGAGGTATTTAGGAAATCAGTTAACCAGATTTGAGTTTTAGTGATGCGAAGTGACTACGCTAAGAAAGTTGGGAGTTGACATTGTGATTTGGCAGCCCATCACTGCATCCTCATGACTGCATTTTTTTTTTCAAAAGCAGTTAGGGAGTAAGTAATTGTGAATGTGTTTCCTTCTTTTTTCAAGTTGTTAACATAAGCTTACACGAGTCACAACATTTACCAATAGTAAATTCACATTACAGCTATAAAGAACAAAAAAAGCACAATAACGTGACTGGAACAATACACAAATAACCCGCACATAGGAGAGAGAAGATGGCAACACTGCAGTCCACTTGTAAATGGTCCAAGTTGGATTGAAATATCGTTGTAAGCTTCTCTCCTCTGTGCAAGTTATTTGTGTATACAGCTATAAAATTCAGCCATGACAGATACTGAATCAATGCTGATAAATACATTTCCTCCTATGGGTCATCCAAACTTAGTGGGAAAACAGCTGGTGTGGTGCAATTTTGTTACACAATCGTTACAGACAAAATCACCTACCATGGCATTTATATCCTCAACATTGATGAGAAGAACTTCAGATATGTTGCCTTGCATATAGTGAAGACTCTCGATAATAAACATTTCAACTGTTGCATTCTTTATGCTCTCTCTCTGGATGGTTTCTTTGAAGAGGTTTAATTGTGGCTGTAAATTCCTTCGGATCGTTTCGTCAAATAGTTTTGTCTGTTGGGAAAGAGAACCAATCAGAGAAGATTTAAGTGTAAGTGCATGTCTGATGCAGTGAGCCGCACCATTAGTGAAGTAGTCCAGTTGGAGGGAATTAATGTATTTATAATACGATGGGTATGTCCTGAAGAAGAAGAAACTAAGAAGAAATGACAAAGAAGAATAAGAAGAACAAGAAGAAGAAAGGTAAAAAGATTGCTAAAAATAAAAAGATAGTAAGAGAGATTATTTTTATTTTCACCTCAGATAGATCTAAAGGAAGACAGATATTGAGATAGATTAGATAGATAGAGATTCATAGAGATAGATAGATAGAGATAAAGATATACTGTATATATATACAGAGAGAGAGAGAGAGAACGATTTTTCATCTATGTAATTAAAGCTGCTATTACCTTCTTTTTGGATATTGTTTTCTTAACTGGAAATTTTCCTTTCCTTTTCAAATATTCCCAAGGACACAATTATGAATAATTAAGATTTCAAGAACTACAGATTTATTGTTAATCTGACCCACTGCCAAATGCAACTATTATTTCAGTCGAGAAACATCACTTGGACATTCCCAGCAAAACTTACGATAAACTAATTCCACATAAAACGAAGTATCAGGAGGGTAAACGGAGAATAAATACTGTTGTTGTTACCTGGTTGCTGAGTGAGTGCACCATACTGTTGATGTTGTTGAGGGAGAGGACAGACCGAGTTACACCTTCATGAACTTCTTCGTTACCCCACACGCTCACCCCTAATGCACCCCTGCCAAGTAATAAGAATATACGTACAATGTGAAAGTATACACTTGAGGGATATGATGTAATCTTGAGGTGTAATGACATAATTTGCTAAGACAGTCATTGAATGAATGATGGTAAATCCATTTTTTCTTTGGGTCGCTTGCCTTGATTGGAGACATTTGTCGAGCTTAAAAAAAAAAAAGTGGTAATTTTGGATGGTATGAAGTAATCTAATAGAATATTAGGTAATCTGGGCAGATAAAAATAAGTAATATGGAAGCATAAGAAGTAATCAGGGAGAATAAGAAGTAATTTGTGGACATAAAAAGTAATCAGGGAGGATAAGTAATCTAGGAGCGTACAAAACAATCTGGGAGCCAAATAAGTAATCTGTGAGCATAAGAAATAATATGGGAACATAAACAATAATCTGGGAGCATAGGCAGTAATCTGGGAGCATAAAAGTAATCTGGGAGCATAAGCAGCAATCTGGGATGATATTAAGTGCTGGGAGGATATTAAACACAGTAACCTGGGAGTATAAGATGTGATCTTCACTCATTAACTCACACTGTATGATATGGTACAATATGGAAACTGTTACAAAAAATGCAATATCTATAAATTATAAACATCTCCAGTGAATACTAGAAAGGTCTGCCCCTCTAGCATTCAGCCTGTTACTGGGTTTTTGTAACAAGTAGCCAGTATCCTGGTCCAATTATCCATACTCTACCAAAACAGTCTAAACCACGAACTAACAGCAAGAGAGCGACAGATGTTCCAACAACAAGGGCCAGCAAGGGAGAGCTGGAGAGGGAGGTGTTGTTGGAACCAGCACCAGCCAAAGAGAGAGAGGAAGGTAAGGCAGTCTCCTCACTCAGGTGTGATCACTCCACCCTGGTCACGTGACTCTCCTGTGGACTGTTCCTGCCCAGCAACTACAGAGAAGCCGGCAATTAAACAAGTGAGGAGGCAGTTATCAAGGTAGTTTGCCAATACGGGCAGCTACTCAACACTTTCGAGCAATGAGCACAAAGTAAGGTGTAAATGCTACGTCCTACCTAATGGTATAGCTAAGTCAAATAATAATATAAAGCAATATATTTACGATTTATGTAAAGCACCCTTCTGGCAAGACAGTGATGGAGTGAATGATGGTGAAAGTTTTTCTTTTTCGGGCCACCCTGCCTTGGTGGGAATCAGCCAGTGTGATAATAAAAAAAAAATAATAATTATTTTTATATAGCCGGACTTGAGTCCTGGAAATGGGAAGTACAATGCCTGCACTTTAAAGGAGGGGTTTGGGATATTGGCAGTTTGGAGGGATATGTTGTGTATCTTTATACGTATATGCTTCTAAACTGTTGTATTCTGAGCACCTCTGCAAAAGCAGTGATAATGTGTGAGTGTGGTGAAAGTGTTGAATGATGATGAAAGTATTTTCTTTTTGGGGATTTTCTTTCTTTTTTGGGTCACCCTGCCTCGGTGGGAGACGACCGACTTGTTGAAAAAAAAAAAAAAAAAAAAAAAAAAAAAAAAAAAAAAAAAAATATATATATATATAATATATATATATATATATATATATATATATATATATATATATATATATATATATATATATATATATTATATATTATATACACACACACACACACACACACACACACACACATGTATGTGCAGTATGACCTAAGTGTAAGAAGAAGTAGCAAGACATACCTGAAATCTTGCATGTCTATGAGACAGAAAAAAGACACCAGCAATCCTACCATCATGTAAACAATTACAGGCTTTCGTTGGCAGGACAGTAGTACCTCCCTGGGCGGTTGCTGTCTACCAACCTAGTACCATTGCAAATATCAGCAATATAAAATTATATGAACAGTTAATATACATCAAAATCGAGATATATACATGTACATACATTGTGACCCATTCAGGGGTCGCAATAGATACAAAGTGAATGAATGAGTATGTCATGGTTTCCAGGCATAGTCTATGATTTTGTTTTATAAAGCAATGATTGTTTTACCAAAAAAGTTGAGTGTAAATTCACTGTTGCAATAACTCCAGGTCATCACATAATTAATATTAAAACATTTAAGTGAATTTAGACATGCTGGCTAGTGCAGTAACTTCTTGCAGCAATGGAAGCCAACTCAGAGCTAGGGATGGCAGAGTTCTGGTGTAAATTTAACATTGTGGATGCAATACACCACATAAAAACTGCGTGGAATAATTTACCCAAGTCAACAATAAATGCAGGCTGGAGAAATTTATGACCTAGTGTGGTGAACAATTTCACAGGTTTTTCCTCAGTACAAAGTCAGGTCAAGGAAATTGTTGACCTGACAAGGAGACTGCCAGGCGAGGTCTTTGAAGATGTAGAGCTAGACAATGTGAATGAACTTTTAGAAGATAAGGAAGAAAGATCTCCTGAGGAAATGTTGGTGGAGCTTAATTCCAAGATAAAAAAGAGTTAGATAACAGAAGAGGATGTGGAAGGAGAACCTGCAGTTAAGAAGTAATACTGCACAGTTATATAACTAGCTCCATGCTGCTGATAAAACTAGAGAGGACCTTGACACATCTAGAAGCAATGCTCTGAAACAGCTTCTGGACCAAACAATCAGCTGTATGAAGTACTGTAGGGAAAGACTGACCAGAGATGCATGACAGAATACTTGAGAGCTCTAGTAAGTGCCCTCAGCCATCCCTTCCTCATCCCATGAATCCCAGCCATCTACTTCATACCAAAATCCTCTGCCATCCACCTCAGCCCAGTAGGGACACAGGAATGCTCTCCCTTGATGTCAAGCTCATCATGCATCATCAACCAGAATTTAAGGAAACATTCACATTGGATTATTTTACCAGGTTATCCTAGGTTGTATCATCCTAGTTTAACCTTACATAATGAAGTCATATATGTACTTTTTTTATGTGCCCATAGCATGTATGTTTTTTTTTCAATTTGTTAAATAATGCTATTATTTAGGTCGATGAACAAATTTAAAGAAACAAAGTTGTTGGGCTTTCATTGAGGTTTCATAGAACATAACCCAATCTTTCCCATAAGTTCCTCACTTCACACCTGACAATTTCATGTATAGCTCCATTTTGAGGAATGTAACCTGTGCAAAAGGTGGTGGTCTACTTACCAGCAAAGTCCAAAAGCACACTCTTTAACTGAAATCTTAGGATTAAACACCAACTAAGATTTCTTTTGCATTTAAATCAATTAAATCTTACTTCATAAACTTTATCTAGCTGTTAAGTACAAAGTGGCATATGTTTAAAGCTAAATTAAATCCCCTTATACCCTCAGGTACATTTGCTCCATCCTCCAATTTTTATACGAAATTACATATAGTATACCATAATTCTCTGCAGGTTGCTATTATTATTAGAAGATTCTATATAATATATGGTACTACAAACCTTCAAATTTTCCCAAATAAATGAACTCATTATTACTTAACCACATGAGTGCCTGCATGACTCAAGAAATCGTAATGGCTAACGCGACGGGCTGGAGTTTTGAGAGACTATGACCGCGGGTTCAATCCCGGCCGGGGGTATGGTTTGGAGTGCCTGCATACTTACAACGTAAATACAGCGAAGAGGACGAGCATGACCTTGAGGCAAGTTATGGAGCCTGGTTTGCGGGGTTTGTTGTCGCAACATCTTGTCAACAAGTACAGCAGCAGCACCAACAAAGTTAATATGAGCACTCCAGCTGGTACTGACCCAATAATACCTAGACTCTGGAAAAAAAAAAAAGTACAATTGACACCATTTCTAATATGATCAATATTTATAATACAAAAACTTAATGCTGTACCTGCAAAATTAAAGAACCTCACTATTAATTGTTACTTTAAGTATTGTTATCAATATAAATTAAAAACTTTATCTTTATTAATGTATAGATATTCACAGTTGGGCCCATGCTACCAAACTTATACTTTGTACCTCATAAATATGATACTATATTTTTTCATAGAGGGAGAGGGGCCTAATAATGTGGCTAATCCAAACGGGGGACCCCCAATAATGTGCCTACTTCCGAGGGGCACCCCAACAATGTGCCTAGTCCTGAGGGAGGACCCAACAATGTGCCTAGTCCCAATGAGAGAGGGGCACAGTGCTGTGCCTAATCCTGCCAAGGAGAAGAACCCAATAATGTGCCTAGTCTCAGGGGGGGGGGAACAACAATGTTACTAGTCCTGGGGTCCCCAACAATGTGACTAGTCCTGGGGTCCCAACAATGTGCCTAGTCCTGGAATCCCCAACGATGTGCCTAGTCCTGGGGTCCTCAACAATGTGCCTAGTCCCAGGGGACCCAACAATGTGCCTAGTCCTGGGGGACCCCAACAATGTGCCTAGTCGGGACCCCAACAATGTGCCTAGTCCCGGGGGACCCCAACAATGTGCCTAGTCCTGGGGGATCCCAACAATGTGCCTATCCTGGGGGTCCCAAACAATGTGCCTAGTCCTGGGGGACCCCAACAATGTGCCTAGTCCTGGGGGACCCCAACAATGTGCCTAGTCCCAGGGGACCCCAACAATGTGTCCAGTCCCAGGGGACCCCAACAATGTGCCTAGTCCTGGGGGACCCCAACAATGTGCCTAGTCCTGGGGGACCCCAACAATGTGCCTAGTCCCAAGCAGGAGAGGGGTCCAGTAATGTGCCTAGTCCTGACGGGATGTGGGGCCCAAGAATGTGCCTAGTCCCGACGGGGAGCCAACAGTGCCACAGGGTCCACGTTGACCGGTGGCAGCAGTATCTGCTACCACCATCATCACCCGTCAACATCGGTAAAAATTAGCCACATTTCCCTCCTTTTTTGAAGTTGTATTCCATACTGTATTGTCTACATTAACTATATGAATTATCTGTAAAATATGAAATGAAAAATATTTCTTTCCAGTAATGTAACAATGCTACCAGCTGGGTCTGACAGAGACCCATTGTGACCTCTTTTAATCCTGTTTTTTGAGCTACCACTCACAGGATGAGCTGCGGGTGCACAATGTAATAGCTACTGGGGCAGCACAAATAACAAATATGGAGGAAAATTAGGAAAGGACCCCAATGGAAATAAGTCACTGACTTTTTTTTTTTTTTTTGGGGGGGGGGAGGTTATACTAGTTAATCTGCAGTGTGGTAACTGTACTTATGTGCAGCTGGGCCTATATAAGTTTACATACTAAAGAAACAAAGTTTCTTGTGGAAGGAGAAACAGGAAGAAAATGTTCCCAATTAAGTCAGATGGCACCCCATCCCCCCTTGCTTAAATCCCGACAGATCCAGACGCCCACACGCCATCACCTGAGCCTTCAACAACAGCCTCCTCTCCAAGAAGCCAAGGAGGAATGTTGAAAATGGTATAAAATACCGACAAGCTGCGCACGTGTCTTGTTCATCAATCCACGGAGATGACAGTTGTGTCGCCTGAGCGGCTACATTATTGTGCACCCGCAGCTCATCCTCTGAGCGGTGGCGCAAAAAAAATGGCTGAGGTTACAATGGGTGTGTCAGACCTCACTGAACATTGTTACATCACTAGAAATACTACTATTTTACAATTACTTCATACAGTTGTTGTACACAATACAGTAAGGGACATAATATAAAAAATATATATCTTACTACCATTGTAGAGATTATTACAATTACACTACCTTGGGGAGTGCCTAGTTGCATTTAACAGAAGATCACAAGAAGGAACACTGCAGGAGGCCTACTGGCCCATGCGAGGCAGGTTCAAGTCTCCCACCAGCTTAAGCCAATTCTTTAGTTTCACCTTTGTATCTCTGTAGCAATGCAGTTGAGTTTCTGTTAGTGGCACCCAAATATTCACTGTAAAGTAGACCACCAGCGTCCATTTTAGCTAGTTCACACAAAATAGCATCTCTGCAACGTCGGCAGCATTTTTGATATCCAGAAGAGTCGTGTATTTTGAGCCTTGCGTCCCCATGTACAGTTACAGATATTGCGACACAATTTCGTACACCTTTGCCATGTGTGAATCCATTAAGTGACATGTAGTGTTTAATTCTGTATAGTAATTTGTTAAGCAATATCCTTTCAAATGTTAACACAAAGAGCTGGTCAGCGAGACTGGACGAAACACATTATGTTGATTAGGTTTGGTAATTGGTTCATTAATGTTACTGGTCCACGAGAGAGGTAACTGACCTATAATTTATATTGTACAGTTCTAACAGTGAGTTATCAGGTACATGTCTCAGTAATTTAATGTCACAGGCGATATCATCTTACCTGGAGGTCGTTCCGGTGGGTCAGTGCCCCCGTGGCCCGGTCCTTGACCAGGCCTCGCGGTCGATCAGAGTCTGATCAACCAGGCTGTTACTTTTGGCAGCACGTAGTCCAACGTACTAACCACAGCCTGGCTGATTGGGGTACTAAGTATCCGTCCAGCTCCCTCTTGAAGGTAGCCAAGGGTCTATTGTCAATTTCCCTTATGTCTGGTGGGAGGCTGTTGAACAGTCTTGGGCCCTGGACACTTAATTGTGTTTTCTCTTAATGTACAAATGGCGCTCCCCAGGAGCTTTGCCCCTGGGGAGGGCAGCATTTAGGTTACATAGGCTATCACATGCATCAAGCAGTCTGTTTAGCATATTATTATCAAAACCAAGCGCTAAACCCACCAGGGTCATACAGCGCTGCTTGTTTAGCATAAATTTAACAAGATTACATCTATACCAACCATGGGTATGGTGTGACTACCACCCACACTGCGCATGTTTGTGCTCCGTCAAAAACTGCGTGTCTTGATAGTAGCAGAAGGAACAGAATGCGGGAAATAAGCGTGTGCAACCATAAAGTGCATATACTCCTTTGAACAAACAAAAAAGGAATATCAGTGAACGCTAAATAGGAAAATATGGATTATAGTGTCACATGGAGAGTGCCGGTGGAGAAACGGTTACCGTGGGAAATAGACCTGACCAGCACTAGTGAATTATTGCCGGATGTCGACACAAGTGGAAATAAACAAATATCGATCTATCTATAAGTAATATAGTGAGTGACAAGGATATATATGTGCAGTGACATAGTGAACTAAATTGTAGATAAGAGTAATCTTAATTATCCCCAAGTATAGCGTACAATATATAGTGTAGATAGGGCCCGGTGGCCTGGTGGCTAAAGCTCCCGCTTCACACACGGAGGGCCCGGGTTCGATTCCCGGCGGGTGGAAACATTTCGACACGTTTCCTTACACCTGTTGTCCTGTTCACCTAGCAGCAAATAGGTACCTGGGTGTTAGTCGACTGGTGTGGGTCGCATCCTGGGGGACAAGATTAAGGACCCCAATGGAAATAAGTTAGACAGTCTGATGACGCACTGACTTTCTTGGGTTATCCTGGGTGGCTAACCCTCCGGGGTTAAAAATCCGAACGAAATCTTATCTTATCTTATCATAAATATCTTACAAGCGACTGGCACTAGCGAACTATTGCCAAAGGTCCAGTGAAGTGTTAATAATGGATAAGTAACTACTATAGTCATAAGATATGAAACGAGTGGTGTAGCATTGAGGTGCAGGGAATCACAGCATACATAAATTGAGCATACAACCCACCGTTACCTCTACTAAACAGGAAACAATCTTTCCATAGAATGTAGGTTAAAGTTAGCATAGGCCAGCTGCTCTGTAAATAATAAAACAATGATCCCAGTATAACGCAGTGAAAAGTGTATTTTGAAAGAATACAGTGTATAGTACTTGAGATAAACAGTGTACAGCACTACATAATAGGAATTTAAATAATAATAATAATATAGTAATAAAAAAAAATATGTGAAGTGGGCAGTGGGCAAGTCTGCGGCTCAACCCACCCTAACCCACACCCACCTACCCACCACCCACTTTACTGCGAACTTTGTATAAATACATCTTGCATATTACTGGCACCACAAGGAAAGGTAAAGTGGAAATCAGTTTTCTTCCGTGGCATACAGAGTGTAGTAGGATACAGACAGGATGTCAGCACAGCATATCTGTGGGACAGGTATCAGAAAGGTACTAAGGAGAGTAATAAATTGATAAAAATAATCAAAAAACAAGGATGACCTCTTGGATAGTCTACCAAAAATATATAAAACATGGGAGCAAGAGATAGTGTATCAAAAAATGCAGAATGTCCATACCACAACAGATGACTCGAAACTATCTAGTCACCCACATGGTGCTAAGCCAGACCCATCCCCCAGTCATAGCACTAATACCCACAGTGCTGGTGCTGGCCCAGGCTCCCCCAGGCATAGCACCAATATCCACAGTGCTGGTGCTGGCCCAGGCTCCCCCCAGTCATAGCACAAATACCCACAGTGCTGGTGCTGGCCCAGGCTCCCCAGGCATAGCACTAATACCCACAGTGCTGGTGCTGGCCCAGGCTCCCCCAGGCATAGCACCAATACCCACAGTGCTGGTGCTGGCCCAGGCTCCCCCAGTCATAGCACTAATACCCACAGTGCTGGTGCTGGCCCAGGCCCAGCCGCTGACCCAGACCCAGCCCCCCCAGCCCCAGTGCTGACCCAGACCCAGCCCCCAGCCTTACTGCCAGCCCAGACTCTCCTAGGGACACTACCCAAACCACCACAAAAACAGTAAATATACAACCATCTAAAACCGTAAATATACAACCATCATTGCACAAGACCGTGGCCCACAGTACAGATGTTGGAGAGGAGTCTCCTTCTTCCTCTACTGGGGAAAGTAGATGGAATCCA